AATTTCATTTTTTTTCTCATTGAATAGTTGTTTAGATCAAGAACAAATTGGTTTCTTTCATCCTACTGCAAATTGGAAACATGTCAATGAATGGTTAAAACATTTCGATCAAATCATTGATTCTCCAACAAATGAATATTCTTTTTTTAATAAAGAACAACAGACAATTCTCGATGAAAATCAAACAATTTCTTCAATACTTATTGATGGAATCGATCGAAATATAACAATAAAAGTTACATTTACTTATGAAACAAATAAAGTAACAATCAATGCATTAAAATCAACAAAAATTTATCATTTATTAAACAATGAACATCTTCTTCGACAACTAAATTTAATTGATATATCTCCTAATGATTGTGTTCTTGTTCTTGAAGGATCAAATGAACAAATTCTTTCGCAAAATGATATTCAGCAACCTGTAAATCATTATATATCAACAGATAATCAATCAATTCATTTTAGAATATCAATTATGATTCAGATATTTCGATATGATAGTTCAGAACCAATTTCAATTCATTTTTCAAATAGAAATATCATAATGGAAGATATATTTCAATCAATTACTAATGTTCCATCCAATGTTTATAAATACTTAGCTTCCAATTCAACAAAGAAAGTTATTGATTATTGTGACAAACTTTCGAATATAAATGAAACAAAATTTTTATTAGTTAAAGAAAATGAAACGTGTCTTGTATCAATTGAAAAACCTAAAAATAATCAATTACTTGATTTAGATGATGGACAAAATGATATTCATCAACGATATACTATTTATGCTCGAATTCTCGATATTTACCAGGAAAATCAACTTGATATTGATCATCAATATTTACTTTATTCGAATGATTTTGTTCCATCAATTCAAACACAATTAATATCTTTTCAATCACCATCATCATTATCATCAATTCGATTTACTTTAATCAATGAAAATTTACCAGTGAATATTACCATTGCAAATAATGAAAATCAACAAACAATTCAATTTCATTCTTCTTTAACAATTAATATTAAAAGTTTACGTTCGTTTGCTTGTCAATTATTTTTATTAAATGAGAATTATTATCAATTAATGTACGATGGTTGTCCACTTGATGATGATGATATAACTTTAAATGATATTGATTCTGATATGACTCATATAGAATTACAAATGAATTCAACAGCAGAGATTCATTGTTCAATTCAATTTGGTGAACGAAAAATTATATTACCGTGTTCTTCTAATACATTAGTAGAAATGATTATTAAAGAATCATTAAAAAAATTATATTTATCTCAAGATGAAAATCAGATTTATGAATTATTTGTTTTAACTGATGATGATCAAACATCAATTGAAGAAGATATTCCGATTGATGATATTTATTCATTATTTCCATCTAAACCAACTCTCATACCGTTTGAACTAAAGAAGAGAGGCGAATAGAATATTTTCTTTATTGTATAAGTCATTTATGTGTTATTCATGATTTTAAAAATATAACATTTTAGAGGAAAAACTTTCTTGACGGTGTGGATCTTCTTTTTCCCTCATTCATACTCCATACCCACCGTCAAGATAAATATAATAACTCATATGAAATCATTTTTATCTAATAAAGTTTTAAATTATTCGATAAAATTGAGTATAACTGATTAAATCTTAAATAATTATCAATATTGTTGAATAAAATAATAATAATATTTATAAAAAAACAATTATTTTTTCAAATTATCTTTGTTATCACATAAAATTTCTCTAATTAATCAAGTTAATAATCTTTTATTTTTAAACAATAACATTAAATCCTTCATTGATACAAATTCATGTTTTAGATATTTCTGTTTTTTGTTATATTCAAATTATTACCAATGTTTACAATTCTACAAAATAGTAAATATCTATGCATGAATTTTTCTTATTATAAAATTTATATTAATCATTAATTATTGAGAGTAATACTATTTTAATTTCTTCATAGAAATAAATCATCTGAGAAATATTTTCATATTTTCAAAAAAAGGAAATTTGTCAAGAGTTGAACGTATTGTTGGCAAACTAATTTGAAAATATTTAAAAAATAGATTTTAGAATTGGTTTTATCATGAAATTTAATCATTTTTATTGAATATTTATCAGCTTCAACTAATTTTAATCTCATAAGAAATATTTTTTATTATTCATAAAAATATTTTGAATTATTTATTCAATTGATTACGATAAAGAAATTAAAGAAGAAAATATAATATATTTATTTTAATTTGTTTGAAACAAAAAACAAATCACTTTGTAAGTTTTATTTAAAAAAATCAGTTGAAAAAGTTCCCATTTAAATAAAAATCTTTAAAACCAACAGTCAAATTTGAATTTTTTTGTTGTTTCAGAACTTTTATTACTTTTTATTTTATTTAGATTTTTTTATTCATTTTTCTTCCGTAATTTTTGTTTTTTATTTTCATTCAAAATGAAAATGTTCAGTGATTTATTTTGAAATTCTAAATAAAATTACTTTTTGATTGATTTCATTTTGACAAATCATATTTCAATTCAATGCTTATTAATTTATTAAAGAAAAATCTTTTCAACATTTGTTTTGTTCAACAGAATTCGTTTTAACTCGAGTATTATTAACAAATTTTTACAAAACAATTCTTTTTTTCTTCAAATGTGAATCGATTTTTTTCATTGATTTTCAACAATAAAACTTCGCTTCTTCTTTTATTTTTATTGCTCGATTATTCATTCAATAGACAAATTCTTTTCTCTTTTTCAAAATCAAAATTTTATTCACAAAATTATTTCAAATTTTTGAATTCGAGCATTCAAAAGATCACCAACATAAAGGTTTCCTTCATCATCAAAAGATAAACCCATGGGATAATTCAATTGATTTGATTGATTTCCTTGAATACCTGCACCAACAACAATTTCACCTTCTTTTTCTCCTTCACACCAACGTATTATTCGATCATTCGCAGAATCTGCCATATAGATTTGACCCAAATCATCAACAAATACTCCGTGAGGATAAAACAATTGATCCAATTGATCGAAATCGCTTCCATGATAATTTCCTCCAGCCACCACTCTTCCTCCTTTTGCACCTTTTCTCCATTTCACTACACGATGATTCCATTTATCTGAAACATAAATAGATTGATCTTCATCAACAAAGATAAAAGTAGGATAACTAAGTTGATTAAGTTCGTCTCCTTTTCCATTTCCACCTGCCACTACAATTCCTTTATTGTATTCTCCCATTCTCCATCGTCTCACTTCATTCTTCTGATAATCAGACACATAAAGAAATCCATGTGTGTCCATTATCAAGCTAAAACAGTCAATATTGTCAATAAGAATTTGTTGATTTTGATTCAACCATTGAATCACTCGTCTGTTTCTTTTATCAGCAATAATGATCGAATGGTTTTGTTGATCAACAATCACATCTGATGGCGTATATAATTGATCCATTCGATTCCCTTCCCCATTTCCACCTGCAATGATTTGTCCTTCTTTTACATTATGTTTCCATTCAACAATACGATGATTATAAGTATCAGCAATGAAAATGTTTTTCTTTTTATCAATGAAGATTCCTTCAGGGCGATTGAGTTGATTTAATTCTTGTCCGTGTCGATTTCCACCAGCCACAGTGACGGCATTTTGTTTCCATCTCTTGACTTTTGGTTCTAGAAAAAGATAAAAAAAAAACATTTTCACAAAAAGAAGAAAAAAGAAAAGATTAGTTCTGAATGAAATATTGATAAAAATGTTTGATGAAAAGACAAATTTTGTTTTGAAAAAGAAAAGGAATTTGGAATTTTGTTTTTCGAAACGAAACTTAGACGAGAAAAAAGTTTGATTGAAAGATAGTTTATTCTCGAAAAAAATCGACATATACTTAATTTGAAAAGAAGACAAAAACTGAAAAAGAGAAAAGATTTTGTTGATTTATTTTTCGTTAAATAAATATTTGGAAAAAACAAATATTTTAGAAAATTTGCCAATAAAAAAACTGATTTGAATTGAAATGTTTGCAAAAAATATTATAAATTAAAAACGACCTAAAATGCTTTAATTAGAAATAAATTTTATCTTTCATTTTTTCTTATTATATCACCATTAAAATATCACAGCACAAGTAAAATAAGATGATTTATGAAATAAAATAATAATGAAAACTGAAAATATTTAATGTTCATCAAAGCACAAATAAATTATATTGAAAGTATTCTTCAAGAGAAAATTCGCTTTCTATGCAAAATAAAATTATTTTTCATTTTTTATTCAAATAATAAAAGTTTTCTCTTGAGATTTTTTAAGGTGAATCTCAAATAGCTTATTTTTTCAAAGGTTCAGATTTTCAACAAATGAAGTTTTCTTTTTTCTTTAAAAAAATCCATTTTTTTCCATTTCAAACAAATTTTTCTCGTTTTCCTTTTTAAATTTAAGAAAAAAAATTTCATTTCAATTCTTTCGATTAACTTTAATTCAGCCATCTGGAATCCAGGCAGGCTCCAGCAAGTTTCATTTTAATGTTACATGAATTAAAGTCAGTATCAAATCACACCTCTTTAGGTATGTTCTAGTGACGAGTAGTAAAATACGCTACGGACGCTAGTCGTTTACTATTATTAGCTATATATGTGATAAACTATTTCGAAATACATACAAGTACTTGTTGACCACTTGAGCTCTGTCAGAATCTCAGCGAGTTTCAGTTTAATTTAATGTACTGCAAAATGGTTCAGGGACCGGGACCAAGACTAAAATTGTCAGCTAATTCCTCAATGTTTTTATCAAGTATGAGACTAGATATTTTCTTATTTCTTTTTTTTTCTTTAATTAAGAATTGACAAATGTGTTATTTTATAGTTCAAGAAAAACCGTATTAATTGAATTTACTATCGAAAAAGCGAGAATTTTCGTGAATTTCATACTTTTTTTTCCGTAGATGAAGAAAACACCAGAATTATTCTTAAGCTTTTATAAAGTCCCGGGCCACCGGGACCGGGACCGGGACCAAAACGATTTTACCGGGATTGGGATGGGACTGAAAAAAAGTAATTTTGCAGTTCCCTAGTTTAATTCCCTGTATTTGTAACTTCAGTCCAAAACTTGTCTTCTAGGATATGGGATATGGGATATGTATTAAGAATCCTTAATAGGGTATACTGTCAACATCAATCACTCAGACCCAGTTGTTGCTAACACGATAAAAGCACCACAAAGTATACGTGTAGATACTGAGTGTGCGAAATACGATCTCAAACCCTTGAAAGATAGTATAAGATATTAAGGCAACTAAAAGACTGAATAAGTATTATTAAAGCTATATTTGTAATTTTGTTCTAAAACCACTATAGTTCCATAATAAAACCATGGCAGTTTTATATTTTATTTATCTTTTATTAATCTAGGGTCCACACTGAGAGCAAAGATGGAACCAGTGCTGTTTTTTGACGACCGGTACCGGTTGCATCTATGTGTACAACCGTAACTATGCTTATTAGTCACAAACAGATGTGTAGTTAAGAAAAAATGTGAGTACTACCTCATGTATTAAAAATCACAAACATAAAAACGAAAATATCGTTGTTTCACAAAGATCTTCTTTCTTGCACGACGGAAATAACAGTGATTCAATAGAATATTAAGACTATAACTATAACTGATAGGAAATAGCTTTGATGTACTTAATCCTAAATTCCAAATTTGTAGCAGAAAAACTATTAATATAGAATACAAGAATGATAAATTTGAGTAATAGCATGTAGTTGATATCATTATTATAGGACAGACTAGTGTCTCCTGTGTGCAACTGTTCGAGAAACAACTTTCATGGGCCTATATTTCTGACTGGAAAATAACTCTACAGCTGTCGTTATTGTATTGAATCTCTATCTAAACAAATATTCATTTTTCTGTTCTTCTATAATATTAACTGATTTCTTAAAAGACTAGAATCAGGTCTTCAACATTTTTGAAATGGAATACTGATTTGGCATTCCATTCTAAAGTACTTGTTTTTAGAATATCACATTAAAATTTCACTCTAGTCAAAACTGCACCTTTTCTTAGTATTATACAATTGTCTGATGGGTAACAATACTCTGAAGAAATGTTTAGTTTTTGACTAATATGATCTTCTCAATAAAAAATCGTTTACTCAGAACTTATAGTGAACCAATCTTGACATTACTCTCCATAGATTGAACTTTGTTATTTCTATACATTAAGTACTAACAAAGACCATATATCATCAGTATAAAGAGATCTAAAAATCTATCTTACTTAGGCATTTCTTCGTTGTTGTATCACATTTGCTACATGCACAGTCTCGGCTTGACTTACAGTCTTGCTGAGATAAACATCTTTTCGAGCAAATTGCACCACCACAATCCACGTCGGCTTCATCTTGATTCTTAGCACCATCCGTGCAAGTCGGTGCTATAACAAAGAAAAAGATAATCAACTTTGTGGCATTATAACAATATGAAACGTTTTGGAGCTATGGGTGTGGGTATGGTTGGGTTTCGATCTGCGTGTGAGTATAATTTAATACCCACCCACAGCCACATCCTTGCTTTATTCCTGCACATTAAGTACTAACAAAGACCACATATCAGCAATATAAAGGGATCTAAAAATCTTTCCTACTTCGACATTTCTTTTTTGTTGTACTACACTTGTTACTTGTACAGTCTGAGCTTGACTCACAACCTTGCCGAGGTAAACATCTTTTCGAGCAAGTTGCACCACCACAATCGACGTCGGTTTCATCTTGGTTCTTAATACCATCCGTACAAGTCAATGCTATAACAAAGAAAAAAATAATAAATTTTTTAACATTATGGCAAGATGAAACGTTTTTGAGCGATGGGGATGGGCGTGGGTGTAAAATGTGCAGATAGGAGTGGGTGTGGCGCTGATTCATATTCATCCACACCCATCCACATCCACCCCTCATTGAATTATTTTTTTCTTTTAGGAAAATTTATCATTCATTCATTCATTCGTTCATTGATAAAATTAAAAAAAAAATGATTTATCAATTATATCAAAATGACTTACTCCATTCTATTGAAGATTGTGGTGACTTTTTTGTAATCATATATCGTATTGTAAATATTCCAGTTCCAATCATCAAAATAAGAATAAAACTACATATCAATAGTTTTAACTGCCAATTACATCGCATATAATTTTTTGATTTTCGTTTTTGTATTGTGTCTAAAATGGCAGATTAATATTATATATCGAAATTTAACAAAATGAACATGTTCGTTGTACCATTGTAAGTTAATTTATCTATTTCACTTGTCTCAATCTCATTATCATTTAATTGTATTTTCTCTTTAATTTTCGCTAAAACGTGTCTCAATCGAAGATGTTCTTCATAATCTTTTTGTAGAGAAGCAATTTTAGCCAAATCTTTATAAACAGTAAGAAGTAAAGGATCATTTTGTGATAGTTCATCTAAACAACGATAATAATATTTCTTCGCTAAATCGAGATGTCCCATTCTTCGTACAACTTTTCCTAAAATACAAAGATTTGTTTCACCATTTCCAATTTCATTTTTCATATCCATAAGAATTTCTTTTAAATTATGTTCGTCATCACTACTTAAACACATGTGAATAATCCAAAATTGATTTTCATCATCACGAATAATTGAATTCAAACGAAATATCGATCCGAGCATAAAAAGAACTTCTAATTCATCACTAAAATCACTAAATTGACTAATATCAGCAAATGGTTTTGTTGTAACAACTTTTGGATCAGCATCAATTTCAAATAAAACTTTTTCAAGATCGATCCATCGATGATTTGTATCACCAAGATAAAAATTTGCAATTTCCTTTTGAAAACTGGTCGAAAGAAATGAATTAACTGAAACATATTGTCCAACACTATTTTTAAGATAATTTAACTCATTAATTGACATTAGTTGACTTCGATAGACACGAGTAGCATATTGACATTGATGATTTTCTAATTGATTTTGTATATCAATAATAAATGAACGATATAAGTAAATCACATGAATATTTTCTTTTCTTAAAGCCGCATTTAATGTTTTATAAAAGAAAGATTCACGTGTATACCACCATAAAACATTCTCCGATGAATAACTACTCTGAAATTCATGAAGATGACTTAATTCATTTTGATTTCCTTCATATTCTTTTTCACAACATGAAATTAATTCATTTCGATCATTTTCATTTGATTTTAATCGAAGAAGACAATCAAGTAATAATTGAGAAAATGCAAATTGACCATTAATTCCTGTTGTTGACTTTCCTGCATCACTAATTGTTGTAAACATATTCATCCATACAGGTTCTTCTATTTTTCGAGGATTTTTATGATCTTCATGGATTTGTGAAATAAGTTCATCCATTTCAGTATGAATACCTTTTAACTAGAAAAATAATTATTGAAATTAAAACTTTATTAATACTTTTTTGTTTACCTTGGAAAAATCATTTGTCCATTGTTTATCGTCTGAATTTATATAAATTGATGAAATTTGTCTTAATTGATGAATTGAAGGAATAATTTGTTGACCGAATTCACCATTAGTAACAAGAACTAATCGATCATTTTCTGATGTTTTTTCAATATAATTTTTACATTCTTCAACATCATCAAATGTTTCAATATGATTAATTATGTTACGTAGTTCTCTTTGGATGTCAACATCTTCATTGTTATTAAGCCAAATGAGACTAAAACTTTCAAGATGATTGTCATTTCTTTTTCTTATAGATTCATTAGGAGTTTCAAGAATTGGAATCATTTCCATTATTTTGGAAATAACATTGTAAATTGATCAAAAAAAACAATAATCTAAAATCATCTAGAAATAAGAAAAATATCTTCAGAATATTGAATCTTATTATTTTTTTTTCTTTCTTCCAAGAAATATTATACAGAAAGTTGTCCATGAGATAGAATGGATAAGAAAGTAAATACATAACAAACCAAAATAAAAAAAGATAAGAATTATTGATAAATTCATGGTCGAAACTTTGCGATAACATGAGAAAATATTCATCTGAATAATCAAAAGAAAGAAAAGATTTGATAATAAATACGATTTTCTTTCTCTTCTATAAATGATGATATTGTTTCGAATACGAAATATAATAAAGCAAGATGAGAAATAACACTTATACCAATAGTTGAATGACAAACAATAAGGGGATATGGGTGTGGATGTCAACTCTTCATTCACCCACAACCGCTGTATAATTAAAATTAAAACTATACACTTAGTTTTAACGTGCGCATCTTTTTAACAGAAATGTAAACCCACACTTAGATATAGTGACATTATCATTGGACTTTTCTTTTCTTTTCTATGATACATTACCTTTTCATTCTATGGAATATTTCAATACGTCACTATACATATATCTGATCGTTCCTGGAGTTCGTATCTATCTATCCATCTGTACTACCTTTCCCTTGTTCTGTCTTCTTTTACTTAGTTGAAATAAACTATTATTTCATCTTGCATTTCTCTTTTTCATCATACATTGTTATCTCTTCTTTTCATTCTTTATTCTTTTTATTTTATAAAATAAGAATCATCCTTTTCTTCACAATATCCACTCTTTAAATACTCAACCATACCAGTAGAATGTGAGCAAATGAAGGAAAATCAAAATCTTTATTCAAATGTATGAACTGAATTCTGATCGTCGTTAAATGAAAATTCCATTCATGATACGACTTCCAAGGCCACGAAAGTAGTTGCGGGCTGGAGGAGTGTATATCCCCACAATAAATAGAACTTTTGAAATTTTCAGCTGTGAAAATACAGAATAGTATATGTTAATTTTATAGTTTAGTACGCATAGTGCGGCTCTCAGTGTACAAAAATGATCTCAAGTTTATGTTCACCTTTCAAGATACAGAGGAACTGAAAGCGTAACCGTGTTCAGCGGCTGAATATAAAATAAAAAACATACTTCTTCTATCACTCGAAAAATCCATTTTATCATAATGAATTACATGTTTTTCAAAATTTTCTTTTCAATACTCTTCCAAAAACTGTTGTCTTCAACGGCATTCGCTTCTGAAACAAACATTGAGTTCAGAGTTCTTGAGGGTATGGATCTATGTGTAGAGAATGACACAACCACCAAATCCACGTCCACATCCATATCCACCCTCAAGATGTTCGCTGATTTATTTTGAAACTCCAAATAAAATTACTTTTCATTGATTTCGCTTTGATAAGTCATTTTTCAATTCAATGTTTACTAATTTACTAAAGAAAAATCTTTTCAATATCTGTGTTGCTCAACAAAACTCGTTTCAACTCAAATTTTATTAACAAATTTTTATAACACAACTTTTTTTTCTTCATTTTTGAACAATTTTCAAATTTTATCAAATTAAAAAGCTAATATATTTGATCATATTTTCATCAAATAAAAATATTCAAATAGAATTTTCTAAAACACAAAATCTTCTTTTCAAACAATTTTTATTTAATTTAACTCAAAGTACAAAATATTTTCTTTTTTTGTCTTCCGTAAAATTCAACAAAAATTAACAAAAGATGATGAATTTAACATTTGTTTATTTATTCGAGTTTTTTAATCAAAACTATCAAATTAAATTAAATTTTGAAGAATACAGAATCAGAAAGAAATTTCTTCTTTGTTTCCATATCAACAAATTCCTTTTTCAATCTTTCGATTTTTTTTAATTGATTTTCAACTACAAAACTTTATTTTTCTTTTATTTTTCGATTATTTATTCTATAAAAAATTTCTTTCCTTTCCTTCAAAATTAAAAATTCATTTAAAAAATTATTTCAAATTTTTCAACTCGATTATTCAACTCATCAGCAACATAAAGATTTCCTTCATCATCAAAACATAGACCTGTGAGACCATTAAACTGATTTGGTTGATTTTCTTGACCATCTTTAGCAACAACAATTTCACCTTCTTCATATCCTTCATACCAACGCATTATTCGATCATTCCACCAATCTGCCACATAGATTTGACCCAAATCATCAACAATTACTCCTTGAGGTTTCGACAATTGATTGAGATTTTTTCCTTGACCATTTCCTCCAGCTACAATTATTCCTTCTTTTGCATCTTTTCTCCATTTCATCACACGATGATTGCTGTTATCTGTTATATAAACAGATTGGTGTTCATCAACAAACATAAATGTAGGACAATTTAATTGATTAAGTTGATCTCCTTCACCGTTTCCACCTGCTACTACAATTCCTTCATTGTTATATTCTCCCATTTTCCAACGTCTCACTTCATTCTTCGCCCAATCAGAAACATAAAGAAATCCATGTTTATCCATTGCCAAACCGTAACAGTTAATTTTGTGAATGAGAATTAATTGCTCTTCATTCAACCATTGTATCACTCGTCGATTCCAACGATCAGCAATGATGATCGAATGATTTCGTTGATCAACAATCACGTCTGTTGGCATATTCAATTGATTTATTCGACCTCCTCCTTTATTTCCGCCTGCAATGATTTGCCCTTCCTTTGCATTATATTTCCATTCAACAATGCGATGATTCTCATAATCAGCAATGAAAATATTTTTCTTTTTATTAATAAAGATTCCGCGAGGGCTATTGAGCTGATTTAATTCTTGTCCTTCGCCATTTCCACCAGCCACAGTGATGCCATTTTGTTTCCATCTGCTGAATTTTGGTTCTAGAAAATGGTGAAAACAAAACACTTTAATAAAAAGAAAACATTAGTTTTCAATGAAACCTTGATTTAATTTTTTTGTCAAAGTTGAATTTTGAATGAAACGTTCATAGCAATGTTTTTTTTATTATTTTGAATAAAATTTATTAAAATGAAACGTTTGCGTAAAATAGAATGAATTAAAAAAGACTTCAAATATTTCAATTTAATCAAATTTTATCTTTTGCTTTTTCTTATCAAGTTAATATTAAAATACTACAGAAGAAGTAAAATGAGATGATTCAAGAAATAATCACACCTTTGTAGGTATGCTTTCGTGTCGAGTAGTAGAATAAACTATTGACGCCAGTCGTTTAGTATCATTAGTTATATATGTGATAAACTATTTCGAAATACATATGAGTACTTGTTGACTACTTGAGCTTCGTCAAGATCTCAGCGAGAGTCAACATAATTCCCTGTATTTTGTAACTTCACTTCAAAACTTGTCTTGTCGAATAAAACCATGACAGTTTTATATTTAATTTGTCTATTATCAATCTAGCGTCCACCCAGAGAGTATAGATGGAACCGATCCAAAAAGTTCAGACCGGACCGGTACTGGCTCCATCTGTGTGTTCAACCTTAACTATGCTTATAAGTCGCAAACAGATCTGTAGTTAAGAAAAAATTAAAGTACTACCTGATATATTAAAAAACACAAACATAGAAACGAAAATATTCTTGTTTTACGAAGATCTTCTTGTAAATCCACGATGAAAATAACAGTGATTCAATACTATACTAAAACTATAACTAATAGGAAATAGCTCTCATGTACTTAATTTAAATCCCGAATTTATAGCAGAAAACTATTAATATAAAATGAAGGTCTATATTCCAACTGAAATGTTACTCAGTGAACAATTACTTTTGAACACAAGAATGATAAATTTGAGGAATAGTATGTAGTTGATGTCATTATTATAGAACAGACATAGTGTTTCCTGAGTGCAACTGTTCGAGAGACTACTTCCATAGTTCTATATTTCTGATTTGAAAATAACTCTACAGCTGTCGTTATTGTACTGAATCTCTATCTAAACAAATATTCATTTTTCTGTTCTTCTACAGTCTTAACTAGTTTTTTGAAAGACCAGAATCAGGTCTTCGACATTTTTAAAATAGTATACTGATTTTGCATTCCGTTCTGAAGTTCTTGTTTTTAGAATATCACGTTAAACTTTCAATCCACCCAAAACTACGCTTTTTCTTAGTATTATACAGTTGTATGATGAGTAATAATACTCTGAAGAAATGTTCACTTTTCCACTAACTTGATGTTCTCAACAAAAATTGGTTTATTTAGAACTTATAGTGAAACAATCTTGCTATTACTCTTTGTAGATTGAACTTTATTATTTCTGTATATTAAGTACTAACAAAGACGATATATCAGCAATCTAAAGGGATTTAAAAATATATCCTACTTAGACATTTCTTCGTTGTTGTATCACACTTGTTACTTGTACAATCTGAGCTTGACTTACAATCTTGCTGAGATAAACATTTTGACGAGCAAATTTCACCACCGCAATCGACGTCGGTCTCATCTTGATTCTTCATACCATCCGTACAAGTCGGTGCTATAACAAAGAAAAATATAATCAACTTTGTAATATTATGACAATATGAAAAGCTTTGGAACTGTCATGGAACTTATGGATATATTCACTTATTAGTTGTTTATTATATATATTTATATATATGCGTACTATTATTTGAACTGAAGAAGAAAATGCGGTACTCTTCTTTTAACATGCATAACGTTATTGTCTAGTAGAATATTTAAATGAAAATGAGTTGGAATAATTTCTTTTTAAACACACTTCAATAGCAATGGCTAACTATAGAAAACGGTAAATGGTAAATGATTAATTGAACTGATTTGTATTGCAAATAAATGTCTCATTGACTAGAAGAACCATTCAAAGGCTCATTTTCAAACAAATTGAAAAAAACTCATGTCGAGTGACTTTGAAGATATGCTTAATAATTTCCCAATGTTTCTTGTTTACTAAATGTATCGACTGAATCTTTCATATTGTGGTCATATATTTTCAAGTGTTCAGATAGTTTGGTAATCCATTTATCAATTCAAAATATTTCTGTGGAACACAGATCGATCTCATATATGCCCATGAATATCTACTGTGTTAAGTTCCCTTTAGACTTACTAAGGAGTACTGAAGCAGAAAAGACACGTTTCATCCAAATCATGAACTCGTACAACTTTACTAGTTAGTGAAGAGCTTGTACTTAAACACGAAAAAGCGGAAGAGAATCTTTCTAATCTTTGCTTTAACACCTGAAGGACTGTTTTGATACTATACATCTTCTGTATTAGCGGACGCCAACTATACAAACGAAAAGAAAAAACTGAATGATTACTTACCTTGACATGTATTTAATTTTGAATTGCAATTTGCAGTAACACAGTCCGTGTGTTTAGAGCAAACTTTACACAGATCACATTTTTTCGAACAAATTGTACCACCACAATCGACGTCTGCTTCGTCTTGATTCTTCACACCGTCCGTACAAGTCGGTACTATAATAAAGAAAGATATAATCAAATTTGTGATATACCAACAACATAAAATGTTCTGGAATTACTCTTAATGCATAACACTATGTCATGCCATAGCTATCATTATAAGTAAAAGTCAATACAAGCTGTGATAATCTTGTTTAAAGTGACAACTGTAGTACTCTTAGATTTCCTCGGAAGATTCCCATGTGCGATACATGAAGCGAACTAATCTCAAGATTATAATTACCAGCAACCAAGGTAAATATTCTGATATTTTAACGTTCATTCCTTCTATGTTTCTTATTTATATAACAAATTGTACATTATCTCTTTCGAGATACAGTGTAACAATAATGTGCATGTTTTGTTTCGATTCGATTTATGTAATCATTATAAGCAGATTTGTACAGTTCTAAACTATCTGATGATTCTTTTAACAGAAATAAGATCGCGACATTAATTACTAGATAAAAAACATTATCATATCATTGCCGATACCCTCCGCTCACTTTAACTACCTTCTCGTACAACTAATCCGATGACTGGTCAGTTTTATATAACCTGTACGAGGTTGGTTGGTAAAGAAATTAAAAAATTATATAGAAGAATAACTTGACGGCCTCAAGAAGAAAAGTGACTAAGCTCTATAATATAGAAAGCAGAACACGTTAACTAACCATTTTTTCTTCCTTTATTTGCCAGTGTTTCTATGGGTTTGCTACATGCACTGATTGCACTAAGTCCAATTGCAGTTATAGATTGCACTTTGAATACAAATTTTGTGCTTGGTGGCAGATTCGAAATGATTATCTTCTTGCGACTAGTATTTGTGTACTCTTCAGCCCATTGCTCTTCCTCCTCACTTTGATTTTTACCACGATATTTCTGATACATAACTTTGTACTTCTGCACATTTTCGGTTCCACTTGCTACATCCGACCATGCTAATGTTACATTTTTGTCTGTAACAGATATTGCATATGGTGCATCTGGTTTATTTGGTATAATAAAGCCACTTTTTTCTGATCCATCATCGTAAAGAACAAGCTTAACAGTTTTAATATGTTGAACCGAATATTCTTCATTGACGATAAATTTTATGTTTGCATTTTCAATATTGTTTGCTTCAGCAAACTCTTTGAATTGTCGCAAATATTTACGAAATTTTGTCATACTACGACTATTTCTAAACCATGCGATGTGTTCTTTACGAGTAGTCGATGAGTTAAAACTGTTCTTATTATGTAAATAATTCTCCATATTAGTAAGTTGAGGATCATTTTCCTCAATGAAACGAAATGATAGGCAGAAAATATAATCATATTTAGTGTCACCAATGACTTCAATTAGCGATGATGATTTAATCGTAATATTTAAGGTCTTGTCATTGGCAAGGTTTTCGAGCCATGTTGTCATTAATGCGATTTCTTCTTCCTTTTCTTTGAGCCATAATTCCAATGTTCGCTTATTGAATGGCGACGAATTCACTTTTTTAAACACATTAAATAAAACAGATTCTGAAATACTAGTATTCCCGCGTAGTTTTGGTAGATTCAATGCAATCTCTCTTTTTAAATCACGTTGAATTTCCGCCAATCGAGCGGCAAAATCCAGTAAATGTGTTTTCATATAGTTAAAATGTGTAAATATCTTACTCATTGATAAATCTAATGATCTCACTTCCAAAGCATGAAGATCTTCAATCACCTTTATTGAATAATCAATCAGATTGGATGAAATTTCTCGAACAGTTCGCATTGCTTTATTATCCAAAAGATGTAATGGATATAGCCAGGCCTTTTTTGGTATAGCGTTTATATTATTTACACCTAATAATGACGGCAATCGGCGATAAATTGTAACAGCTTCATCAAAGGTATCTGGATTTTTGTTCAAACGAAAATCACCATAAAATTTACAATGTAACTTATCGGTGAAATTCTTTTCTTCCTTGGTCAAATTTAAATTTGTTTCCACACCTTGGGTTTTAAATATTGAATTGCCAAGAATTGCTTGTAATCCACCACTAACTTCTTTTTTAGATTCACTATTCGATATTGTACGATCAAATATAAAAAATGCTTCAGCACCATAAAGGACACCAGTAACAACATGTGTAGCACGATTTTCATCATGTAAATCTGGATGATCTAGATTACCTTTACCAAGATGTTTCATTGTTAACTGTTGAAAATGCGTTGTAGTTGAATATTTTAGTGTCAGACGAGCTTCATGATTTGTTCTTTGATAATCCTCAGCATATTTTGCAGAACCTGAAGCACTCATTAGACCGACAAGCAGACTTAGTTTTAAACTAGCTTCAACTCCTAAAGCACGTGCCTTTTCTTGTAATGAATCTTCAGTAATTATTTCATAGCTAGTATACGGTTGTTTATAGGTGATTGTATGATTCGCCAAGGTCTGTGGATCCCACAGAGTTACTCCAGTGATTAACTTATCACGACGAACATCATAGAGCATACCTAAATGGAATGGCCGTCCCAATGTAACCATTGTAATTTCTTGTTCTGTCGCCATTATTTTTAATGCTTGATAAGAAATAATTAAGCATATCAGTTGTAAAATAAGCATTGAATTTTAGTGTATCTCTTTTTTATGCAACTAAAATAAAAAAGAAATTCAAATATGCAATATATGAAACTACAATGGTTCATAGTCAAAGGTGGTAGAAAATTTCAGAACTATTTTTCCTTGATGAGACTGGTGATTGCTCGATCGCTCATCGTATAGAAAACAAGAGATACGTTGCATGAAATCGGTATGAGACTGAGCACATGATCTCATGATTTTTGAGTTACTTAATTCTATTCAAGGATTTTAACATTGTTTTTGTCATTTGTAGATTTCTAAGTTAGTCTACAAATTTGGTAGAGCTTATATCAGATCCTTGTGTTGACATTGAATACAGAATGAGAGTAGTGATTACTTATTCATATTTAACCTTATACCTTTGAGATGGGATCACTTCTAATCTATCAAAAAAATTGAGCAGTCAGCTTATATCACTTTGAAAAAGGGAGTAGATGAAATCATTTTCGAACAGATGAGATTGAGAAAATAAGTCTGTGAGTGTAAATAGAGGGTATCGATCCAGATGCTGGATAAATTGGTTTCAAGACTGTGAGTTTGGCTGTTGCAAAAATATGCTTAATCGCATTCACTCACACTCACCCTTAAACAAAAATGTTTATTATCTCAGTTGCCAAATCTATGGAGGATAGTGATACTTGATTGCCTTTTGACTGATTTATCTAAGTATGAATGAAACCTTGATTTAGCAAAGAACTCAAAGTCCATAGCATATTTTATCAAAAACTTCTTTGTAGGATCATTGGCAGTTATAATTCAAATAACATCGAGTAATAAAATGTATATGATCCACTCAAGCATGGTTCAAATCTTCTCTTCTGGATCTTATGAAATAATTTTCATACCTTTGATTGTGTATTACTATGCCGTCTTTGTTTTGAAAATAAATAAAAGGCTAAATGGTAACCATCTTCTTATACACAGTCCTTCTTTTTCTTTTTACTCCGAAATTGTTATACCTGAGATTTTTTCTACGTTATGATAGGTATCTATTACATTTCAATTATAACGAAGAAGAAGACGACCTTTAAAAAATTGCTACGATTGACTGCAAAAATACAATTTAAAAAGTTATCTTTTGGCAAGTAATATGATAGTGATCATGAAATGAGAAAAAACAAAGCACAACAATAATTCATCGAAATCTATCCTTATCCAGGATAAATTGAACATACATATAACACTTGTTACATGATGTATAATCGATTTTAACATATTCTAATTATACTAGGTAACAAAAAATAATCAGAAACTAGAGAAACATGGTTACCAGTGCTCTTCGTATTATGCTACCATTTAGTTTTGGTTACTTCCAACTAATTCCAACATCATACATATGAAAATATTATTGAAAATTTTCGAATTACAACAGCAAATTACTTCAATTTATCTTATATTGCACTAATGCATACATAACACAATTATATACGATGACATTTATTTGTGTTAAAAACTTTTAAATTAACATAAATCATTGTGACATTTAAGGGTATATACAAAGATATAGCTATCACGACTAGTTTCGACGTTGCTAAAGGGTCATCTTCAAGTGGTATATAGATCTAATAGACTGTTGTTGGTCCCATTCTTAAACAAAAAAAAACAAATCGGATCATGAAAAATACGTTTGGCAATTAGACTTATATCAAATTAAGTGATATTTGATTGGTTAGTAAAATAATATTGTCCAAGGAACGTAAATCGAAGAGTATTTTACCTGCGACAATATAGAAATGATATAGTTATCAAAGAGTAGAAAGCAATCAATCATATGTATAGAAATAGTTTTCAAATTAATGTATTATCTGGTGAGTATAAACACATCTAAAGATCTTATGAACCATCTTGAGAGCGTAGCAGTAAATTTGAAATAAGCGTAAAGCTCGCATCCCACACCACATCCTGATAGAGTATCCATTCAATCTGCAAGTCTCTGGAAAGAAGTGATTGACAATAAAATGAATCGTGAATAGCTATTTGATATATAAAGTGAACCATGTAGCAGACAACATAACAATCCTATGGTTTCGTGAGAGTCTTGCACCAGCTTTTATTATTGATGCATCCACGTAGGATATCTTCGGTCAGGATTCGAGTATTTCCAAGATAGAACTCGACGAGCTCTATCGAATACACTATTTTCTTTTGTGAAAAAAGCCTCCCTTATTCAAAAAATACTCATACCCATTTCCGATGTATGATTAATTTATTAATACGTCAAGCTTTAAGCTTTTCATCTAACTAAAGATACATAAATGATATTTGTACATAAAAAATAATGTTTAAAAAATTATCGTTATTGAGATCGACGAACCGCACGTAACCAGATGCCTTGTTTAGGAACTAAAACTTTAAGTTTATTGAGTTTAATAGGTATCTACAATTTAGAATTAAAATGAATACAAGTATAAATATCTTAATATTTACTTCTGTTTTTTCGCAACATTGTATTTCAACTACACGTAATGCTTTAACAATTGCAATTTTAGCTTCTAATAATGCAAATCGCATACCAATACAATTTCTATAAAGAAATTTTAATAATTATCTAGCTGATCTTATATTAGTAGATGAATTTTAATTACCGAGGACCATCACCAAATGCCAAAAATGACATTGGATGTCGTTTTGCTTTCTCTGTCGACGAAAATCTATTAAAATCATGAAAATTCATTATCAATGAATACATAGTAAAAAAACTCAACCTTTCAGGTATAAATTTTTCTGGATCAGGCCATACTATTGGATCATGATGAATAGGATAAACAGGTACACTAATAATAAATCCTTTCAATATCTGATAATCACCCAATCTATAATCATTTGATGCAACACGATCAAATCTATTGTAAATATAGACTTATAACAAAAAACATTACTATGAATTTAACGAACCTAATAACTGGTGGATACATACGAAGTGTTTCATTAATAACCATATCTAAATAATGAAGTTGATTGATATTATCAGGTTTAATTTCATTCTAAATATATACAGTATTTATTACAAAATCTTTTTTTTGTATCATTTAATTCATACATCACCAATTTCTTGTTGAATTTCTTGATAAACTTTTTCTTGAATTTCCGGTTCTGTTGCCATAACATAAAAGAAAAATGACATTAATGTACTTGTTGTTTCATAACCAGCAAGTAAAAATACTAATGCTTGACCAAGTATTTCTTTATCATTCAAAGCTACAAGAGAACGAAACATGTTTATAATCTCTTAAATAATATTATTTTACTTTTTGTAAGTGTTCCTGTTTGTTGTTCATCATGTTTTACTTGTTCTTCATGATCAACCATAATTTGAATAAAATCATTTCGTCGTTCAAGATGTTGTCGACGTCGATTTAATATTTGATTCAGTAATTCTGTTAAATAGTCCATAGTATTTTTTGGTAATATTGAATAACCTTTCGTGTACAAATAACGAGCTAATCGTGGCGATATAACTATTCAAAAAAAGAAAACTTATTAAATGATATATATATATATATATTATTTCTAGAAAATTTACAATATACAATGATTATTAAATTTGCTAAACTTAATGTAAATATTCCTTTAAGATGTTTGACTAATGTCGCATTTTCATTTTGTAAAGAATTTGTTTCAATACCAAATAAACAAGAACCAATCGTATCAAGTGCAAAATGTTGACTAATTCTATTCAAATTATTAGATGTCTTTTTTAAATACAAATGACAGAATATTTTCTATACTCTTTAATATTAAATATTTCTTGTTTATCAGCATATTCAAGAAGACGATCGTTAAACATATCACTAGTTTGATCCATAAGACTATACATCTAATAATAAAATTATTATAGTGAATAATCTAAAAAAAGAAATTAGATATTTACTGCTTTGAGTTTAGCTGTAGAAAATGTGGGTGATACAATTGCTCGTGCATTTTTCCAATGATCATCTTTGAGTGATAAGAGACCATGTTCAAGTGGACCAATTAAACCTTCAGCAGACTAAAACAAAAAAAAATGAAAGAGAAAAGAAATTACAATTATGTACTAACTCGTCGATTTATAAATGCATATGAATCTTTAATAAGAACATTTCGAAGAAGATCAGGATCGGATAAAAGTATTATTGAACTTGTTCCTTCATATATTCTGAAGAAAGATTTTTTTCTAATACTTAAATAAGTCATCGTTACATACCCAACAATTTTACCGTATTTTTTAACAAGATCCATATCATTCTTATATAAACCCTGTGGAAATATGAATCGATAATATATGTATAATATTATATTGATATATTACTTTGCGTATAACATTAAAAATTTCACCTAAAAAAGGGATTGGAGTTGGGCCAGGTATTCCAATTCGACGAAAAATATTATTTGTCAATAAATTATAACTTAAATTATAATAATTATGATTTAGTTCAAACGAATCAAGATAAAACTTACATATAATAAGTAAAAGCGAATATAAGTATGACAAATAATGTTAATGTAATAGAATCACCGATAAGAAAGTATGTCATGACTGATTTTGACTTACGTCAATGAAATTATTATTGATAGAAATGTCTTTATCATGCCAATTTTATATTAATTATTGATCTACAATATTAGAACATCGTTATAATATATAGGATAGTGAAAACTGAAAAGCAACGTTTTTTAAATATGATTTATTGTGAACGACGAACAACACGTAGAAAAATACTATTTTTACTATTTAAAACTATTATTTTTCCTAATTGAAGTGGAACCTAGAAATGAAAATTCATGATAGATTTCTATTTCTTATAAATTCATGATTTACTTCTGTTTTTTCAGATCTTTCAAATTCTACAAGACGAAGTGCTCGAACAATGCCAAGTTTAGCTTCTACTAATGCAAATCGCATACCAATACAATTACTAAAAATATTGTATAATTAACATGAATATATAAGCAAAATTTGTGCTTACCGAGGTCCATCACCGAATGCCAAAAATACCATTGGATGTCGTTTAGCTTTTTCAGCTGGCAAAAATCTATTCAACAGTATTCGAATATCAAAACAAAAAATATACAATTCTTTAAATACTACCTTTCAGGTATGAATTTTTCCGGTTCAGGCCATGTCTCAAAATCATGATGAATAGGATATACCGGTGCGTGAATAATCGTACCTTTTGGTATAAGATAATTACCAAGTTGATAATCTTTCGATGCAACACGATCAAGCCTATTATTATATAAATCGAAATCAAGAAAACTATTCAATAAATAAACAAACCTTAAGACTGGTGGATACATTCGAAGTGTTTCATTAATTACCATATCCAAATACTGAAGTTGATTTAATTTTTCATAAGTAACTTCATCCTTTCGTAGGAAAACAAACCTATTCAATATTCTTGATTTATTAATCTTACTTACATCTCCTAGTTCTTGTCGAACTTCTTGATAAATCTTTTCTTGAATAACTGGTTCTGTTGCCATGACATAGAAAAAGAATGA